AGTTCATTATTTAAGCATCACAGGTTGTGGGGACAAGTTTAGGCCACCTTTTATGGTACTTATGAAATGCAGCAGCTGGTGGGGGAGCAACACCCATGTGCCTCTTATCCTACCTTCCCCACTCCACCACCTGTGGGTCTACTGAATGTATTCTCAACTAGGATAGGGAAAGAAAAATATTTAGCTAAACATAAGTATCAACATATGTCATTCCCTTTAACAACTTTAAGGTAAGCTATTAGCTCAAAATGCTGTTGATGATTCAGATTTTTCATTATTAAAACAACCTAATCACCCACAATATCAGTCTAGAAAATAAGGAAAGCCCTCTTGCAAAATCAGCAGTCACACTTCCACTGGTTTTGATTACAGTTGGTTGAGGCTCTTCAGCCTAATACTGTGGGATAATAAACTTGAAGAGGTCACCAATCGCTGGTACCATGTGCTATAGCAGTAGGATCCACAGGTGAATAATTCTTCAGCTAATATTTATTATTAGTCTCATAATTGATGCAAAGAACACAGGCACTAGATTTTCTAATTGGTTTTACACCTACTGCATGACCCAGTCAGACCATCTGACGTCCCAAATTAACAACCATAACATTGTATGAACAGAAGACCTTTTTATTGGGAGGTCAAAAAAACCCCTCTCCTTTTTGCCCTGAGCATCTAAGGTCTACTAAAGGCAAAAAAAATAGCCACCTCCATTCCCACAGATCCACAAGTCAGTCGAGCAGTTGTTTAAATTGTTGCTTGTACTGTAAAGCAGCAAGGAATTTCGTGAATTCCTACAAAGAATATTCACTGGAGTTGTTGATAAATCTGCTGTCCATTCCTGCACACAGCACCACTCAAAACAGTCATTCGAGCAGTTGTCTGGAAAGTCTCATTACACAGCTATGGTGGCTGCAGCAAGACGCAGCAAAGTGTGATGGAGAACTTCGATGACCAATAGTGAAATTCTGGATATACTAGAGGTAGCAGGAAAACAACTACAGGCATAAAATAAGGCTTTTCTGTTTGTGTCCCATTAGTGGCTCTGTCATTAGCTCATTGCATGATCTCGGACAACTTGCTTCATTCTCTACGACTTTTTTTCCATACACCTTCCAAGATCATTGTACCTCCCTGTGTTCACTCATACTTGGATAGTCTCAATGCTTTTCAAGGTACTTTTCTTCAACAATGAATCCTTAGATGACTTGCACAAACTCAGTGTCTGTGCCTTTGCCTCTATTCCAGCCAAGGAGCAGTTTATGGGAGAGCAAAAGCCGAAGATAGGGACTAAGAGTAACTTTTATATAACCATGCACAGCTGCAAAATTGCAGGGTTTGTGTTTCCCTGGTTCTCCTTTCTTTTTTTTTTTATTACATCTTTTTTTAAAAAAGCAAAGAAATCTAGAAAGCCAGTGTATATCCATGAATATACATATGAAATTATGACATATCCTTTAGGCAGAGCCGATGTCTTACTGTGCGTTCAGGCCTCATGCCTGGCATTACACGGTCTCAGTACAATCACGATTGGGATATACATTTGAAACAAATTCTGCCACAACCATGAACATTTTAACTTTATTTTGCAATTCTGGTTAGAGGATGAGCCACAAAAACCTAGACTTTTAATGTAAGACATCCACTTCTCCTGCAGATTAATCATTCTTATGTGCCCAAAGGGAGCTGATCCAGGTAGAAAGGTATATAGAAAGATGTGCTTGATGAGAGTTTGGTTTAGATCCAGAGCTGCATTAAAAAAGAAAAACAAAAAAAAGCAGGGAAGAATGAAGTTAAAAAAAACAATGCTGCGATGGATCACTTACTCGTTGCTTGTTCTGTGAACCTGGACCAGCCTGGTTTCTTTTTGTCTTATGGATCTTAATACTGTCTGTGCCAAAGGGGTTTCTACAACTTTGTAATAACCTGCACCCACTGCTCAGCTCTCTACCTTGCTATCCTATAAAATAGAGCCTAGATTTTATTTAGCCCAAAGCTAACTCATTATTTGTCTCTGAAAGAAACAGAGAACAGTAGAACATCATAACCTTTTACTGACCGTAAGATCAACATGCTTCTGAGTTCCCCTTTATAGATTAACAACTCAAACTCCTACAATCTTTCTGCATAAGCCTCTTGTGAGATGTTTAGATAGATGCTCTGTCTTTCTTGGAATGCGATACCCATAGTACTTGCACAGAGGCGTACATTACTTCCCATATTTTACCACAGTATTCCTGCTAATACACTGCTAATTACTTTGTGATCCACTCCAAACCTCTATTGAATGTACAATACGACTGTCAATTGCCACAGGAAATATATGCATAATAATCACTAAACAGCTCTATAATTCAAAAGCTTGGGCTGTCTTTAAGCCAACAGATATATTCCAGTCCCTCTTTCTCTTATTTCCCATTACTCTAATACAGCTCTGCTATCACGAAAGCATGATTTATCTGCTAAAAATATCTTTTAAAACAAGTCTTCATCACAGAAATGACCAAAACCTACTTGCTTACTCAGTGAGAAAGTTTGTACACATCTGCCAAATAAAAATGAAAATGCATCATTTAATCTAAAAAAAAAAAAAAACGCGTCTTGAATTTTGGTGTTGCTCAATCCTTCATTTTCCGTAAACTGTGTGAGAAATCACGCAATGATGAACATTCATGAAAACCTCTAGTACCAGAAAACTTCTACGGTGTATGATTCACAAGTGAAACAAAGAACATAATGCTGCTGGGCAGTTTTTGCCATACAGCTACTTACATACTCTTCCCTTGCATTAAAGATGTCAAAGAACAACTCTGAAGAAGAACCTCAAATGGTAACAGTGGATCCAGAAAGGCTTTTTGAATTAAGCCACTGTGGGATGAAATGGGGAGGAAGTGTGTATTCTTTATTTTTTCCACTGTCCTTTACCTTTCTCCTTGGAAAAAAACAAACAGGAACCAGCTTTTCCACTCAAACTACCATCAGTTCAATTGTAATATGGACTAGAGGTATGAATATGTGAACTAGCTATATAAAACATCTCAAAAGTCAGACTGGATGGATTAGGCTATATAAACTGCAGATATCTGAATCCAAGGTACACTTTTCTAATCAATAATAATAGTTTACTGTCCAAACAAGCCTGAAGTATTGTTAGATATATTACCATTCCAATAATGCTTTATTTACTATCACTTTCTAATCAACATATGAAGATGCTTTATTTTAAAAAAGTATAGGTATCTGGAAGGAAATTAATATGGAGGGGTTTGTTCTATTCCTATGAATTTGAAACTCTGAAGGAAAAAACCCTGAATCTACAAACGTATTCTACATTTCACATTTATTCTTTCACATTTTGAAATGAGAAAGGTTGTGGGTTTTTGGAAGCTATGTTTTTTTTCTGATTTTCTGTTTCTGGGCATTTAGGTATTGTGTGTCAGATTAGGTCTATAGAGTTACAAAATGGGTTATCATTTCTCTCTGTACTGTTGTTCTTGTATTTTATTCCTCCTGCAAAACAGGTGCATCTTCTGCTCAGCATGTCGTGCATTTTTCTCTTGGGAGAGTGGGTGGTTCTCACAAAAACAAAAACTATTAAGCTCTGTAAGACAGAAACAAATTCAACAAAAAAAAAAATCTAGCACAATTTAATGCTGCACTCTGCTAAAATAATCTCCTTTCTTCTCCTGACACTTTTGTCGAATCTGTGACAATATCTGTGCATTCTCCCCCAAATTACAACAATAGTATTTCCTGAACCTGGCTAAACATTTTAGAAAGGAAGGGAACTTTTAACCCTCCAGTATTCAGCTCATCAGATTTTTTATTGACAATTTAATATCAGACTTGAAACAAAGAACTCAAAATCTGCAGCAGATAATTTTAGTTCCCCTACAGTTGTCATGGCCTCAAAAGAAGGTTTCGCAACCTGAAAAAACCTACACACAAAGGGATCTCGTGACACAGGAGGATGAGTAGTTATGTATCCAAAAATCAAATACAATCAAAATGAAGAAAGATGTATTCATCTTTGTACAAGCTGGCATTTCATCTATCAAAGGCATCTGTCACTTAGGTATGGCACAACCCGCAGCATAAGAGGGAGAGCAGCATTCAGTGCTGTAGAGCAAGTTTGAAGCTCGTAGAGAAATAGGTCAGAAAGGGACAAGGACTTCAAGGGGACTTGTCATTTCATTAACACCACTTCTCTGCACAATCTGAAGAATTCGGGCTCCAAAGAGGTTTCCTAGACCCCTGCAAAAACCACAGCCAGTGCTTCCACCAAAAATTGTTTCATGCTGCCTTCAGTTGGGGGAGGTGACCAAAAACCTGCATGTTAAATCTTAGTGCCGTACAGTCATGTGTTTTCTCCATAAGTAATTCTTCATCTTCAAAGAAGCACTTAGTTCCTTCTTGAGAGAAAGGAATTTTTAAAAACTGTGGCAGTCAGACCTATAACGGACAGACAAGCGTTGGCCCTTCTCCTTTGCTACAAGGCAACCAGCAGGTTTGAGACATCCTCAATACTCGCCAAAGGCCAGCTTTTCAAGAGAGCTCAGGTGTTACATCATCAAGCATCACTAAGCTTTGTGTGTTGGCTAATCAAGAGAGAGAAAAAGAAAGGGGAAAAAAAATAAAAGGCTCCAACTACCGCAATTCTGTAACCTTTCCTTTAGGACTGACCTTGAAGTCACAACCTCAGGAAACCCCTTATATACCACTGTCCTAAGAGCTGCAGCTCTCCATGAGCCCTCACTTCCACCTTTTGCTCTCTTTGTATTCCCACCCATGTGCAGAATTCATTAGCCACTTGCCTTCCGTCACAGCACTTAAATGAAATGAGTGAATTTTCCAAAGGAGTCAACACATAAGAGCTTCTGTGGGGAAAAAACAAGCATTTAGCTTTTCAGTTCCTTTGGAGCTGTGGCCTTCAGCAGTTCTTGGTAAGACTTTTAAAACAAATAAAAGCGAAAAAATAAAAAGAGAAATGTTTCTTACTTCCCCCTTCTCTTGCTGTCTTGCAGCCCATGGGATCAGAGCGGATGGAGATGCGCAAACGGCAGATGTCCATGACCCAGGAGACCCCAGGCGCTGCACAGGCTCAGCACAGCACAGGAAACCGAGGGTCCAATGCCTGCTGCTTTTGTTGGTGCTGTTGCTGCAGCTGCTCATGGTAACCCCCCTCATTCAAGCCTCTGGGGAACAGAACAGCAGGGGAGGGAGGTAACAGCCAGTGCATAGGACAGCGTAAGCCAAACAAACCACCTGGCTAATTCTGCAAGTCTGGGACTAAGAGAGATGACTGTGCTCTAGTACCAGACACAATCTTCTACTCCACTTTACTCTTTTCTTTCCTGCCACTGAAATAACAGATTTTAAAAAATTTTTTGTATAGTATCTCTGCTGTATTTTTGTTGTCAATACTGTGTAATGGAAAGTCTGTTTCGTGCAGGACTGGTTCTCCTCAGCCTTGAGTTTCACCAGGACTTCCACTAAAAACTGAAAGCAATACCAGAATATGTAACAGCTTTAGATTTAGGACTGGGACTTAACAAGCAGCACAGACTGTGTTAAATGGAGTTAGAAGGTGGAAGAATTTGTAGGTCAGAAAAGGAATAACCAGGTGCCCAGCATTGTTGTTTTTTTTCAAAGGCAACTGGATCTGTTGTCATTAATTACTGTTGCCAACTCGCGGCACCTGCAATTCACGTGAAGCTAATCCTTGGGATCAGAGACTTTAAACATTGTGGGTATTTGCTGAAGATGAGGAGTTAAGCAGAACGTAATTCCGAAGAACTCCGATTAAAAGGTGTTAAGGAGGAAAATTTATCAGGGGAGCAAAGCAAAAGAGGAAAAAGAATCACTTCATTTCTTAAATTGTGTTCACCTTCTCTCTCCTACCAGCTCCTCCAGATCCAAGTAATTTTATTCAAAACTGAAGTAAAGCTTCCCATATTCAAAAGTCCTGTATCTGTTTGGGGCCAAGTATTAATTAATGGGCAAGACCAGAACTTGCACTGAAATAAAGAAAAAAGAAGTCTTAAACAGCCATAGTTCAACCAAAACACTGACAGCAAGCTGAGTGCTTCTTATAAATGCGCTATCCACCACATAAACACTTCAGAGCAAGCAAACCTAGCACTGAGGTGAAGGGAAGAAGTCATAAATAACTTTACAGCCCAGGCTAGGAATCTATTCCACCATTATTTTTTCCAACAGCAGCTGGTAGCAAATGCTTTGGAGAACACCATTAGAAGGCAAGGGAAGAACAGGCTGATCATTCCTTTGCTGTTGGTACGCAGCTCATCAGAAGCCACAATTCTGCCCTCTCTAATGCAAATAGTGAATATTTTGCAAGGACAAAAGGCTGCTTGGATTTTTTTTGCAAGATGCCAAGTACTCTGGCTCTGATCCTACCAAGCTTTTCATCAGGTGCTCAGAGGTAAATAAGGTAGAGTTTAAAAAGATAGTAAGTACTGCGCCTGTACAGGATCAGAACTTGCTACCTTGCCAAATGGCATCTATGTTAAAGCATCCCATACAAATTCCAGTGTCACCTGAACAGTTGTCCAGTGCAATCGCAGGTAGCTCAGTCTAGAGCTGCATATTACACAAACACGTCTTTCCATAAAAGGAAAAAATAAGGCACATTTATCTACTAAGTCAGAGTACGTAAAATTTGCATTTTATCTTTTAAATTGTTGATAAAGTGCTTTTTTGCCATTTTACCTGATAATTTCCAGGATGCTCATTTTCTGTGCACCTCACTGCTCAAACAATTCAAGGAAACCAATTTACTCAATAGGGTGTGTGAAAGTACCCAAATTTCATGACACTTAAAATTCCTATTTGCATTTCAGAATCAGCTGGGAAACCAGTACAGGCTCCAAAACAGAGCAGCTTGGTTTAGCTTTAAAATAATTTCTGATTTTTTCGAGAACAATTGTTTTCTAGTAGCAAGAAATGCAAAACAAACCGTAATTAAGCTATTTATATTCCCTATTCATAGAGCCTTTCCTCAAAATAGCTCAAAGTACTTTGAACAGAAAAATTATGAATAGGAGTAAAAATAACAGTCTACAGGAGTCATGCAGCTGAGTTGCTGAACATCCAATATTCAGCATACTCTTAACAGTAGATAGAGAATAAAGAAACGGTGAAATGAGTCTCTCAGCTGGATGCTCAGAGCCTGCGTTCATTCCTACAGCCAAAACTCAAGCCTCCAGCCTGTTACTCTTCCAGGTCCTGAGAAGATGCAGTATTGCACTAGTCTCTTTTTTTTTGTTTACCTGTACATTTCTAGGGAAAGAGAGTCTGCCCGCAAATCATTTTGTGAGGCATGTCATATTCTCTTAAGGAAGCTTTTGTTATTTCTTTTGTCTTTTTCCCCTTTCGTGCATTATCCTATGAAGACTGTAATCCTTTCTGTTGGATCTGTTGGTTCCCCTCAATCCAAAAATAACTCTGACAAGCATATCACTTCTTTTCTGTGTGTGAGGAATACCTAATATATCACTGTTCATATTAAAAAAAGCCAGAATCACCGGTAAAAAGGGCAGTAAAGGATTGAGACCTCTACACCCCAAAAGAACAGGGAACTAACATTAACTACTTACCTTTTTTTTTTTTTTACTGAAAAGGTGAAATGAAATAGTTCATTGGTTTGAATGTATGGTTCAGATGTTGCAGAAAAAAATGTGTTTGCAATAACTGCTCTCCAGCTTAGCAACAGGAAAGCTTCCCTACCTCTTCAATGCAGGGACTGCCTTGGCAAAGAGAAAAGCGTCTCTATTCTCTATTGCCAACCTCCAGCTACTCCTCAAGCTTTAAAATGTTTAAATTCTCCATCCTCCAAGAAGGTCTCTGCAGATTATGGACTAACACTGGAAAGAGCAAGAGAAGGAGATAACCAGTAAATAGTAAGGCTGCAAATAAGACAAAGCCATGAGTTTAGAACGAAGAAAGGAAAGAAAAATTAATGGGTTTAACAAAAAGCCTTGCTAGTGATAAATGAGATTGTTAAAAATGAAGGCAACAAAACTGTTACAACACTAGCATTAAAGAAAGGTAAGATACAAATGAAGAAACAGAGTTTGATATTTTCCTAGAAGTTATAACAACTGTATTGCTTTACTTCATCTGGAGGACCCGCTTCACATAAGTTACAGGTTATAATTCACCGGGACCTTTCCGTCTTGACAAATTTCAAGCAGGTTCACAGATTATATGAATGTGTGTGTGTGTATGCACATGTATTTCTCACTAAACTACGATAGCCTATGAATTGGAATGTAGTCCCCATTCCCTCAAAGAAAATATGTATATTCTCAAATTCAGTCTCAAAAGAATCACAAAAGGAATTTTTAAAAACAGTTTAAAAAAAGACAGTTATTCAAATTAACATTTGATAAAAGCAGCAGGAGCTGACAGCTGCCCTTCCAGGGGACATGAAAAACTCTCTCAGTGATCGCTAGTGATGGCAGCAAACACTTATTTTTTCTTTAATCTACAACAAGCTAATACTCTCTTCCAATCGGACATACTCAAAACAATACTCAGCAATGGTCTATCTGCTCTTTTTGCTCCAGGCCTCACAGTTTGAAGCATATACTAGCACTTTCTTAAAGTTGCAAACAATTGCCACACAATCTGGCTCTATCTACATCTGAACTCTGGAAGATGCTTACACTTCCAACATCACACACAGAAGCATCTAGCTTGCTTAAAACTTGTGCTCCGTCTTCTGAACTCTGCTTTTCTTGTAACATGGTGTCACCATTCTAAACCAGAGTCTTGGCCCTTATCGTGCCCTATGGATATAAAAAATAGCCAAGGAGGGGGGAAAAAAAAAAAGAAAAAAAAAAAACAAACCAAAACACCCAGCCTTGAAATCTAACTCACATAAAAGCAGTGCATCAAGTCTAACTTAAGTAAAAACATTGCATCAAGCACAGACAGTCTCATAAGCGTCAATGGAGAATAGATTTGGTATGGGATAAAGGGTACCCATGTATACACATATGTATACATATATATCCCATATATATATATACTCGTGTATACATATATATATGGAGTTGGACTCTATGATCCTTATGGGTCCCATCCAATTTGAGATATCTATGAGTCTATGATCCCTGTTCAGCAAGTCTACGTGATACAATATTGAATAGCGTTCAGCTACATTAAAGTTTGCCAGGTTTATACAACTGTAAAACTAATGTCAGAGTATAACTATGGGTAATGCAGCTACTGTTAGCTTCTGTCCTTTTAGCTGATTTTTTTTTTAAATATCAGAGGAAAAGCATCTGGTGTACATTCGGCCTTTTCCTTTATAAAGTTGACTAAAATTTTATTTGCTACCTTGCAGTCTTACTGTTAGAAATCAAGACGAAGAGAGAGCAAGGAGAACATCTCATGAACTCCAAGCAGAGGGTATTCCAAACTGCGAGGAAAGGTATAGTCTTTACTAAGTGCTCTGTCAAGCTATATTAAAACAAACCAACAAGCCATACTAAATAATTAAAGTGAATTACCTGAAATGTGCAAATAACTATTATCTGTTTGTCATTTATGCTGAATTTGCAGTCACCTGTCTCTTACCTCCTAAGGAACCACAGGTCTGATCTATAATCTTTTACCTTATTTATATGCAGCATGTAACCACATCCCCACTTGCATAACATGGCAGATCAAAACCAGCATTGTAAACACAGTCTCCCTTTTTTCTGAAATAATTTTTGAATACCTCCTGTTCCTACCCAGCAACTACGTAATGCAGTGCTCAGCCTTACAAAAAATATAAAAAATTAAAAATAATATTTAATAAAATAATTAATAATAAAAAATAATAAAGAGGAGCTCAGATCCTCCCAAGAGTCCAGCAACTGTTTCTTCAGAATTGCTCAAACAGGTAGGAGCACCTGTAAAACTGTAACAGAGAGGAGGGTACCTTTTATGGGGTTTGAATCATTGCTCTTTCTATGTATTTTCATTCAGTTTTTAAGAATGATTCAACAAGGACTATTAGGTATAGAAAAAATGCTTAGCTGTTGCACAGGGACTTCTTTGTTGCAATTACTTCGAGCAGTAAACTGCAATTTCTGCATCAAAGCGCTGGCAATCATCTGCATCTGAGCTTTTGATAAGCACACTTTCAAAAAGCATCTTATAAATATGTTTACTAGGGTTTGCACTTGGGTAGTAGTGAGGAATTAGAGCTCCATAAACCTTGTGATTTTGTTCCACCATGATGGCAGATGCCTCCTGCCAGCTGCAAACAGCTTGAATAACAATCATTCATTTCTCTCTTCTTGTCCTCTCCTTGCTCCTCAAGCCCTGCTCCTACTCTTGAAGAAGTAAATGCCTGGGCTCAGTCATTTGACAAGTTGATGCTTACTCCAGCTGGCAGAAATGCTTTTCGTGAATTTCTACGAACAGAATTCAGCGAGGAAAACATGCTTTTCTGGATGGCCTGTGAGGAACTAAAACAAGAATCCAACAAAAGTGTCATTGAAGAAAAAGCAAGACTAATTTATGAAGATTATATTTCTATCCTTTCTCCAAAAGAGGTATATTGCTTTCCCCAATACATTCTTTGATGCTGCTTTGCACAGTTAATTCTAACATGTTTAAAGCCACAACAATACTCGGGGAGAACTTTTTTCCCCCCACATTCCACTGCCATCAAGTAGAGATTTAGGGGAGAAAGGCAGACCCATCGTTGAGGTGAGATGGTCAAAATTACTTTCACTGGCTGTAAGAAAGCTCTTCCTATGCTACTCTGGCATGCTGACGTGAAGTCTTTAGTTTGAGACATAAATATACAGACGATCACTTCGTCCTTGCTCAACTTAAATTTTATTTGTTGAACAAATCGGGTTTTTCTTCTTTGCACTAGGAAGGGGATGCGTGCATCTCTCCAAAAGCACAGTAACCGCAAATAAAGTGTTATTTGCAAAGCACAAATTGCTCAAAGAGCAGCTGACAAAATATGGCATAGAACAAACACACTGACTTCCTGAAAATTTTCAAAACTACTTGTCACTTTGCTGTTAGCAAATACGTCAAGTTTCGAAGACACCTCAGTTCAGTTTGAATAGAATCCTGCCAAGTAGGCTGGAATTTTAAACCTTCCAATATCCTTGCAAAACTCAAACTTAATTGTTTGTGGTGCAAGCTATACTTATGTACTTATACAAATGCTGTTTAAATCTAGTCAGTCTATTCCAGTAATACTAATACCTTTCTACAGACACTACAGCGTTGCAGGAAAAAAATGACATTACTTGTATGTTGTATGAAATCATTATATAGCCAATACCTGTGGTTCGCATCAATTCACCCTGCTTTTTAACAGGAATTTGATTAAGCAACAGCTTCCCAGGGTACGGTTTCCGTCTGCGTCATACTGCTTACTCCAAATTCAGTCTCTTTACAACAGCGCTAACTCCCAAGGAAACGAACTGTCACAAAAAATTACAAGTCCTCTCCACTACCGCGCAGGAAGTTGGTCTGGAAATAGTCCACCAGTCTCTCAGGTTTCAGTAAGAATGGGATTGCAGGCAGCCTTGTTCAAAGTAAAGTTGCCTCAGCCAGACAATTTCTCTATCCATACTCAAGAGATCGCTACTTCCAAATTTCAACACAGTTGTTTTTTGCCTAAGAATATTTAGCAGTTTTTACACTCTCGAAGGACACCAGCTGAAATGGTTAAAAAGGACTGCTTTTTCAACCAATAAAACAAACCTAAAAACCCCACATGTGCTATTTACCACTATTAATTTTGTGACTTTCTATTTTAATATGCAGGTCAGTCTGGACTCCAGAGTAAGAGAAGTTATTAACCGAAATATGCTGGAACCCTCGCAACACACCTTCGATGATGCACAGCTTCAAATTTATACCTTAATGCACAGAGACTCCTATCCACGGTTTATGAACTCTGCTATTTATAAGGACTTGCTTCGGTCCTTATCTGAAAAATCCATTGAAACATAGGATCTTTTCTTAAATGTATTTATTTTAAAACAAACGGAACTCTGGGCTACACTGATCCACAGGGAATTTAGAATTAATCACATATTTACCTGAAAATAACTCAGGCAAGTTTTACTACAGACTGAATGTTTTAAACCCGCACAAGGCTCTGACACAATCAGCTAACTACAGTTTCTGATCAAATTCAGTGTCACTTTGCAGAAGAGAATGAAGAGAAAATGTTGTTGTTCAAAAAAAAGCAGTATTTTTTCAAACGCAGCATGCAACTCAGCTGCAAACCTGTCACAACGTACGTCTGAGGTACAAATGCCAACTAAGCATGAAAACTAAATTTGATTTTTAAGTGGAGTGTTGGAATTTTCTTGAAAGCCAAACCAGTTGTCCCATTCACACTGTGACCAAAGTAAAAACAGTACTGTCAATATCTGGGTTACACTAGACTAAGTTTCACACATTGTATGAATCGTACCTGGCACAGGTACGCTCCACTTGTCTTGGTATATTTAATGTGTATACAAAGTGCTAATGGAAATCAGTATGGCAATCTCAAGTTGATGAAAGATAATGGTTGAAATAATGCTGCCTATAAAAATCTTTTGCTGAAGAATTGTTATTTTACTACTAGAGTCTGCTGAAAGCATTTTTAAGTTCATATTGTTGATGTTTATAAAGTTAAATTATTTACTTAAGAGGAAGAAGAGTCTGGGCATTTAAATTCCAAAATAAAGCACAAGAATTGTCACATATTCTTCTCTTCCCTCAGTAGGTAGATTTAAAAACCCTTTCGCTATTTGCTCCTGAGAGGGTGGCAGTATCAACCATCTTGGTTTTGTACATATTAAATTCTCTCATTACCTGACAGATCTTGTAAGGTTTCTGTTACAGAAACGCACACATTTCATTGACAAAAGAAGGAAGCTGGAACTATTCTGTTCTGATACCGTGCTATTTCCGACTGTCTGAAAGAAAAGCAACAGCTCTATCCCTTAATAAACCATGTTCATTTACAGCATCCCCAAGGCATTACACTTGATTTCTGGTCATATCTCAAAATCGGTAATCACAGGAAGTACCAGGAAGAAAGTAAGTTGAATCCACATAATCTATTTGTAGATCTGTTATTAGAATAACTTCTTTATTTTAAATTACAAGATTCACTACAATTCCACTATATAAAACTTCGGACTTTATAGTGGACTTCTATTGAATTATATTTTTTCCTGCACATTTATTTAAATGAACCAAATGACACACATAGGTTGGAAAAGTGCATATGGGAAACAGAAAGGAAAAAATACCCCTAGAAGGGAAGAACCAGACAGGCATAGTTCAGTGACATTTACTGTAGACTTTCTAAAGCCTGCTCTTTGCCTAATTCCAGCACTACGAAAAGCATGAAATGGGGACTTTCTCTGAAAAAAGGAAATGGGGATAAAAAGGCAGAATGTAGGAAATCAATTTAATTGTTTCCTCAATGCACTCGGCAGGAGACACATTCTCCCCTTACTGCATTCGCACTATTAAACAAATAATGATGAGATTTTTCATTACACAGCACCACAGGAAAAGACACGATACACGCTAAGTTAACAACAACTATGGACCAGTTTCCATCATCTCCTTCCATAATCAAAACACTATTCAGCCTGTCAGCACAAAAAAGCAAACCCAACAACTTCAGAGAGGCAGCAAAACAAAGTGCTCCGTAGCACAGCACTGAATGACCAAGTTAAGAGGAAGCCCTTCTATACACCACTATTTAAGACACGGTCCAGTTAGTGGTTGCCACTGCTGAACATATCAACATTGGTTATCTCAGCTGAATTTGTAGTAAAAATATCCAAAGCACTATCGATACAATCTCAGTTTACATAAAGTATTACACGATAGGCAGTAACTTTAACAAAACAAACTAGATGTATCGGTAAGGCAGCATTCATGGGGAGCTTGCAGTCAAACTGACGATGCTGTACTTGTTTAATCAGGGAGGGTAAGAGTGCTCTAAAACTCTACATTGACAAAGTAAGTTTAACTAGGTCAAATTCAGCTTGCTGGAAAGATCAGACGCACACATCAAAAAAAGTTCAAAGCGTGTCATTTCATGAAATGGAGGATTTCATTTCTTTTAAGTTATCTCTCTTCCCTGCAAAGATACCTCATTAACAGCTGGAAGACAGACCAAACACTCGTACTTTATATCAAACAATACATTCCATTATTCTGCAAGAAAGAAAAACACGCAATGAAATCAGAGGGGAGAGAAAACTATATTGGTTTGGGCAGTTCTATGGTTAACATCAGATTATTAAAAGAAGAAAATAATAATTTCTAAGCTTATTTTCCGTATGCCACAACTTCTAAGCAATTAATATTCTCTAGGCAATTTTCATTTTACTTCTGCATTAGAATATGCTGACATTTGCAACGCGCATCTTTCCTGAAAAATCTTAACAAATTTTAATGGTGTATTTTTGGTTTAAGCTTACACCCAACACCAATGGCAGAATGCTGGTCCCTAGATACCCTAAGAGTATCTCTTAAAAAACCCAAACAACCAACCCACTCCCCTAAATATCTTGCTTTGAGGCTGTTTAATGCTGGATTTAATTGAAGGGCAGGGGCGGGGGGGAGAAGAAAACAAACCCACCCGCACAGAAGACAACTACATTTTATTATTATATACTTGCTCATTATGCACAAACTTTTCTCAGGGCAAAAGTGAGTTGCACTGAAAAGGAAAAGTTACTATAGACAAGCTGTTACATGAACAGCAGGAGAAAATAATCATATTGACACAAGATATTATTTATAATTCATCAAGTACGAAATTATCGCAAAATCAATTTATCCTAGCTTGAAAATAAGCATGGTTGGTTTGTCTTGGCATTTATCTAACTGCAGGATATCATTAAGCTCTAACAACTTTCCAGTCCACTGGTATTCTTTCTTCAATTTCTGCACTTCACAAACTAGTAACTCCCACAGAACATGCATACTGTTAAAGACTGCTCTTTTCACCAGCCTGCTAAGCATTATTAAAATTGCATGGGCTCCTTCAGCCAACACATTGTGCTTTACACTGACCTTTAAATTCTAAAGTCATTAGCACAATACAGAGGAAAAAAAAGTTTGCACGTATATATATATTTCTCTATCTATCTCTTGAAGGGCTCTACTGTATAAAGATAGATAAAAATTTCTCACACAAACATCGTGTACTTATGCACTGATTACAAATGATATCTGAAAAAGAGAAAGTGATGAGAAAGACTATCACAATATGAAGTAATTTTTAAACAAGTATGCTCTAAACAGTACTTAAGAACACGTGTCTTCTGCCATGAAAGGTATCAGTATCATTTCAATGACATTAATGACAGATTTTCTATACTAATGTTTTCATGAAATTAATCCCAAACCTTTTAAAATGGGAAAACAATTCAAGATTAGTGATGATCTAGTGAAACAGAAGCTAATATACAGCTGTATGAAATTGTACTTAAAGAGGTGAAACTCCTCAGGTTTATTTATATGAATGACTACTAATGATCCATTTCAACAGGCATGCATTTGAAAGGTAATACAACTACTTTTTGTAGAATGAAGACTTCATGTTGATGAATGTAAGTTCTGCCTAAGGTGGTATGGGTTGTAAGTTTCAATTTAAAACTCAGACACGTGACCACAAGTGGAAACCTGAACTCTGGATAAAAAACAGGCACTTTCCTCACAATGCTTGGAAAGTGCAATAGGGCTTCAAAGTGGGATTCACAAAAACCAAGATCACTGAGCAGATATTTACCTTCTGCTTAGTGCTAGTCAAAAAGAATCATTCAGTACAAGATATTTTAAAACCCACACTTTCTCCTGAGCAAGTTAACAGAATTATATATGAGGAAATGCCTTCTAACAAAGGATCCGGAAACTGTGTTTTCTGAGCAGCAGAAACTTCTGGCCTTCCTTACAGAAGATGGCATCCTTAAAGATCTACACACACACACTTTAAAAGGAACATGGCTCCCTCTTTTGCTCTACTGTGTAAAAACTAGCTCGAGTTGTAAGCCAACTATGTTCCAGTCTCTCTTTCATCTGAGAGGATTCAAATGTCCATAAACGTAAACAACAAACCTGCTATTCTTGGATGGGAGAGATTCATCACCAGTTCTGCTGGCATGTTTCACTGCATAAAGTATCTGAATGCACTGGCTCAGTTGTAGCATGGCTGCAGCTCAGTAGATAAGCCAGCCAGCTAGGGAAATGAGATAGTCCCAGCCCCGCCTCTGCATTCTTCTCCTATACATCCTTCAGACTTTGCATCCTCGCCGATAGAGGAGGGCAATTTCAGACAACTGGGAAAACTGAAGGACCTGTTGAACAGAGATGCATCCGAAGCTCACTGCTGGGCAGTTTTGGTTTTGGATCTGGGCAACCAAAACGAAGCATGAATAGAATTTAGGCAACTATGATCTTCTTTGGATCTAGTTCTTGGACTTCATCTTTCATTGCAAGAAAGAAACGGTTCATTTTACCTCAGAAACAGAAGAGAGAAAGGGTGAAGGCTGTTGCCTAGCCATAAGGTAACATTAGGTGAAACAACATTTTATTTGAACTCCTACTTGGATACACCTACATCAATCGAAAGCGCTATCGCAGTTCTCATTCTTTTAATGAAGTCCGGATATAATTCAGTAAGTACAGAAAGACAATTACTATATTTTCTCAAGAAGTAATTCTCCTGTCACAATCAGGCATAAAGATCAAAGGACACGTAGCGTGAGGAAGGTTATGCAAACCAACCTGTGCCTGCTCTGTATATATGCTGTGAACAGCAGTGGAAATTGGCATCCAATTTGCAATCATTTTTAACATAATTTTTTGCACTTGTTCGTTTACAAACGTCTCCAAACAAAGCACTGCAATTAATATTAAACGTCTGTCATTAGTTTGTTGCTGTCTTAAACAACTTGGGGGAAAAAAAAAAAAATCAATTATGCATCTTTAAGTAACTCTTAAGAAGCAATCCTGCCAAAGGACCTACACACAGGCTAAAAATAAACCCGTTCTGTTAGTAGAAAAAAGAATGTTTTCTAAATTAGGGTATTAATATCAAATAAATTGAGTTAAAAACGTTTTTATATAAAGTTATGCAAGAAACTTTAAATGCTGAACAATTTTCTGCGTAAAAAATGTTTGTAACTAAACTTCTGATTTAATAATTTTTCCTTTAGCAGAAACACCACTTTTCCTTCCTTGCACAAGCTGACTGGAAAAGCTTGCTCTGTAAAGTACTTACCAAACACCTCACAAAGCTCAAGTGTCATCATACTATTTCCAACTCATTTGTTACGATTGCCACCATCACGCAAAAAATATTCAACATAGAAAATCTTGTTTTTCCTTTACAGTCAAGGAATATATTCTCCAGGAATCGCACATACTCTTCCCATCCCCCTGTGAACTCTTTATACATTGCCAGGATAGACCTTCTCAGCCCCAGGCTTCAATAAATTAAATAATATAAAATTAGGTACAATGAAAGAATTTAATCTCTTCTAAAGATGTTGACATATTTGTCCTTGAAAGCACATTTGAAAATAATTCTAAATATGTGTGCTGTTAAAAAGCAGGCTCTAACAAAGCAGTATGTATACCATTCCACATATGGAACAGACGGCAACTTTAATAATTCATTCTCACCTGTAGGTCTATGATTGACACTGGATACTCTACATCTCAAAATTC